TGTGGGCACATCCCCAGTAGGAGATGTGCAGGAGGCAGCTGATCGATGTTTCTCTCTCATCGAAGTTTCTGACTCTCTATCTCTCTCCCTTCCTCTCTGTAAAAAAATCAATAAAATATATATTAAAAAAAAAAAGAAGTATGTGTGGGTGTGCATGAAAAGAAACAAGACTTTATTGGCCAGAGGCAATAAAGCAAGATGAAAAACCAAAAATATTGAGGAAATTAAGGTTTTTATCTTGGATTTTAAAATAATGTTGGTTTTTGTGTGTGTATGTTGTCTTTTACTTTGTTTCCTTTATAAAAGTAACACATGGTCATTGTGGAAGAGTTGAAAATATAAGGAGAAGAAATTTTTTTGTTATTCATGAATAGCTGCTATTAATATTTTTGGTATATTTTCTGCTAGTCTTTGTTTATGCTTAGTTATTTGTTTAGAGGTTTTATTTAATTAGTTTGGATAATATTGTATATGCCATTGAGTATCCTTCATATAGAACAATTGGCTAATATGCAAATTGTTCCCTTGGGAGTTCAACCAGGAGAACGGGAGTTCGATTACTCATTATGATGTGCACTGACCACCAGGGAGCAGTGCAGAAAATGGCAGGCAACCAGCTGGCCAGGCCTAGCGACCCTACCCGTGCACAGATTTTGTGCACCAGGCCTCTAGGAGTAATATAAGCATATCTATCTATATAAAAGACTAATAGGCAAAGTGTCCCCACGGGAGTTCTATTGCTCGCTATGATGTGCGCTGACCACCAGGGGGCGGCACAGAACGAAGGGATGTCCCTGCTGGCAGCTGGCAGCTGGGGAAGGGAGGCCCCAGCTGGCAGTCGGAAGGCCCTAATTGGCCCTGATCACCAGCCACACCTAGGTCCCTACCTGTGCATGAATCTCATGCACCAGGCCTCTAGTCCTAACAGAAGGTTATTCATGGAATCCTCATTTTTAACATCTGTTTAATATTAATAACAGTCAGTTCTGCTTTCTTCCCTGCTTGCAGAACTCAGGTGTTTTCAGGCAGCCAAGGGCTCCTAGGAAGACTGCCTCCATTTCCATGCATAAAAGGTGAATTTTAGTCTTAGTCAATCATGGTTATAATTCCATGTCAGTGATTGGCTGAGGAAAGGGCAAGTGAATTAATTCTGGCCAATAATATATGAGAGCAAGTAGACAGGTTGGACTTATGGAGGAGATTCTTAGTTCTCAAAAAGTGAAACAAGAAAGACATAACCCCCTTTTCTGCCTATGGAATGTGTGTGAGAATGAAGCACTAGAGCTGATGGTTGGAGCTTTTGCAGCCATCTTCTGTCCATGAAGGGAGCAATTACGCACAAAAGATACAGAAAAGTAAGAAGAACTGGGCGTTGGATGATCCTGTCACTCCAATTAATTACATATCCCTGAACCCTACCTTGAGACTTTTTTTAACGGAAGAAAATAAATTCCCTATTGTTTAAGCCACTTTTAGTCTGTTTTTCTGTTTCTTGTAGGTAGAAAGCATCCTAAGAGATATAGCATTATAATTTACCTTAAAATTTTTCTTCTTGTGGTATATTTGTGTTACCGTCTTTCACTATCAATTTTTGCCTTGGATAGTTTCAAGAAGAAAGTTACTTGCTTAGATACTAATGTAATTTATGTTAGGTGGGGACGGGGTAGGGGGAAGGGCAGGACCAAAAAGCAATAAAGAAAGGGAGCAGGAATAAACATGAACTATCTCAGGTCATCAAAGCTGAATCATTCTGAATCTCCACTCCCTGAATTGCTCATTGCTGTCGGCAGAGGTGCTTATCAGTGGCAAGTTACGTTTCAGAAGGAAAAATTGGGAAATATGGTCTCGATATAACACACAAATAAAGATGAACACAAATAATCCTCCAAAATACAAAGCGATTCCTGCTTGCAATGTATGGCAAGGCTTCAAATTTCTTTTACAGGGCTTTATTTTTTAAAGTTTCTTTATTATAATAATAATAAAATTACTTTGGTAATAAGAAAGGCAACCATCATGCCATGGTAATACCTTTTCATATTAAAATTTGCTGTAGTTTCTACACTGTGTTTAATCCAAATGCATCTGGTCTATCATGTTGACAATAGTAAAGAACTAATGTTTCCCAAGTGCCTTCCAGGGGTAGATGGACCCTTCCAGAATCAAATTTGGGGCAAGGGTACTTGATTGAACATGATTTAAGGGAAGGAATCTAAATGCCTATGCTAACATCTGACAAATGAACAGTAGAAGAGACTCGCATTAACTGCCTCAGATTTCATCACTAGTTGTATTTGGGCCTACTTATGATCTGAGATTTGAGATTTGTTTACTTTTTAAATATTTAGTTGTCCTGGAGTCAAATTTTGGAAAGGCCTTCTAATGTAAAAGAGGATGTGCCTGGGCAACATAGTAATCTTAATGACTGCATTATAGAGCACGAGGCCACAGTGACCTCTATGTAAATATTAGCACCAATAAGTGGACTTAACACACATTGGTAACTTCAGAGTAACAATTATTTTACAACGTAATTCATATTTAGAAATTATTTTTAACCCCCCGCTCCCAGCCCCCACACATAGATTGTAAAATGAGATTAAAGTCATAGCTCAGTACAGTGCTCACAAAGGTTTTCCACACTGCGGTTGTGACTGGTGATATTTCTCACTCTGGTTTCTGGCCAGGAGTATTAATTCATGAGTTGACTATGATAGAGGCTGTAAGGAAAACACAGGCTAATCTTAAAACTCAAAGAATGACTCTTCTCTATGCAAAAAAACTCACGAAAAAAACCCAAAACCACCAAAAAAAACAGCGCAGCAGACCAATTTCATAAGGTGTATCGTTTTCTCTATGATGTCTCATAAGTTTGTCTCATGTAAGATTCACTTCCTGCACACTTGGACATCCTAAAGAAGAAACAACACTCAGAATTTGAAGAGGAACCCACTGTTCTAAAGTTCACCTGAGATCCCGAAGAGTGTAGGTTGAGGGTAGCTATAAAACTAAGTCCTATTAGAGATTTTTAAATTATTCTAAAATGTTCCACCAGATATGGAAAGGCAGAAACTGATCATGAAAATCGTTGGAACCCAGCACAGGGCTTGGCAAATGAAAAGTACATAATAAGCATTTGTTAAGTTAATGACTGCATAGATAAATTAGCCTTAGATTGTGAAGTAATGTATATATCGAAAGGGGAACTGCTTTCTCCACTTTCTTCTCTGATTTTCCTCATTCACTTCTGATTCCCATTTTTTCAACAAAGACAAATGAAGAGGGATCGTTTTCTGGTTATACCTATCTCCAGATCCCTGTGACAGGGACTTCAAGACTACGCCTGAGCAAGAGTCATTCTTTGATAATGTGACTAAAGCCTGTGCAATGGAACTGTTGAAGCTTGTAGTAGTCAGTCGAGGTGGGTGGGGCTGTGAAACTGACCACATGGAAAAAGCCTGCAGGATTAGGAAAGCTTTAGGGACAGTCCATGTGTAACCCTGCCCAAAGCATTCAAATCTTCTGTGCCCAAGTGGGCAGGATCTTGAGAGAGTAGGGATAGGGAGGTCACTGAGTTAATTCTATACAAACAAAAGAAAACAAACAGTCTCATTCCTCTGAATACCACACACATATGCACCCGTCCTTGTCCTCTCTCCTCAGTGAAGCCTTTAGGCCCATCCCATGTTGGGAAATGCATTTGTGCGGGTAGTAGACACACAGGCTGGTGAGTGGACACTTTGTTGAAGAGAGGTATCTCTCATGAGAAGCAAAAGTGACTTCCAGCTAGCTCCCCTGAGAACAGAGGAAGCAGTGAGTCAGAACAATTTTGAAAACTCCTTGTCAGTCCTATTGAACAAGGCACTGGTGAGAAATTTTGAATCTAGTCCTCAAATCCCTACCTACCTTTCTGGAGGATTATAAGGTGCAAACATAGGACATGTTGCCTAGTATCACTCTGAACATAAAACATGCCATTCCACACAAATGTACAAATGTGGGGGGGGAAAAAAAACTCTGAAAATACCTAATTCACGCTGCTGTTCAGTATTAAAGTTTGTGAGACCCTACTGGGCCGCTGGGTTACAGGTTCCTCTGATGTTCCCCCTTTAAGTTCAGTGATTATTCCTTCCAGACTCCGCGTAGTACTACTGTTTACCTGCAGCCAAAGTCCTCCTCCCAAATCCTACACAGGGTTGTCATTCGATCAGTGTCATATTCCCCAGAAGCCATTTGGGAAAAGTTGAAATGCCTCAGAAGGTGATTACAGATTTGCCATGAGTTCTATACACAGAGTCACCTGTACTTCTGGCACTTTCCCAGGGACAAAAGGCCAACTAGTGACAGAAACCCTGCTGGTGGCCTAACTCAGTTTGCTTTGAAGAGAAATCCGAAACTTCTGGAAGAAATGTCCTCCACCCTTGGAAAGAAATATTGTGTGCAAACACAGCCAAGTGGCCTCTTCTCTCGTCCTCCATCTTCTGAAGGTTGTATTCTTCTCCCCTTACCCCCCACCCCACCCCTGTGTTCTGCAGGTCTTAGACCTCTCCCCTGAAGGCAGGGTAAAGTCTGTCTATAGTGCTAAATCACAGTGTTCAAAGTCTAATGGCAAGAGAAGTTGCCCATCATAAACTTTGACACTAGGTCAAGGACTTTAAAGAAATGAAATGGTGAGCAGTTCCCTTTTTCTTCTTTTTTTCTTATGCTTCCTCCCACCTTGTGCTTTTCAGTGGGGCAATCATTGGACTTGCAGCTTATTAATAATAACTATGTTGCTTTTATCTGAAGGAATAATACAAAAGGAAGCACAGCTGTCCAACTCCAAAATGCCACAGTACAAAAAGGGAAGAGCTGAAGTTCCAGTAAGAGAACTGCAGGTCTTGTTCTTAAAGCCAAGGGGGGAAATATACCCTTCGATATTGACTATTTTAGAGGCAGCCCACTCTTGCAGAGCACAGAGGAAAAACAGAGGCTAAGTAGCAAGGCCCTTTGCAGGAGAGTTGAAACAAGAAAAAAGTTTTATTTTGAAAATACAGTCTTTAAAGATAAATTTGGCTTCCATTTTCCATATCCAGGTGCATCCAACAAGATACAAAAACAAACAGAACAACAACACCAAGACCCACGACGTTATGTACAGAGCTCTAAAATGAGCTGTGCATATCTACAAGGAACTCGCATATGCTCTTTGTGAAGGGATGTACGTGTGTGGCTGTCTACAGTTCTCAGTCCTCCAGAAGCTCAGTTAACTCCCTGGAGCTGCAGGTGCGGCTGCAGCAAGGGCAGAGCTGGGGTCAGTGAAGGGTTGCAGGGGGCGGGGGGTGGAACCCCCAGGTGGGAGGTGTGGAGGGGTGTCTGGGGAGAAGGGAGCAGGGGGGCACGGGGACAGATCCTGGGCTTCTCTAGAAGTCCTGCCGCGGGGTGTGAGTCAGGCTGTGCCGCCGCAGATCACAGTTTCGCCTGAACACTTTGCCGCACTGCTCGCAGCTGTAGGGCTTGATGTCTGTATGGGTGAGAAGGTGAGTTTTCAGATTACTTCTCTGATTAAAGGTTCTTCCACATGTGGGGCATTTGTGTGGAGATTCCTGTTCAGATGTGAAGCAAGCAAAGGGATTAATCCTTCACACCACCACCGCACCCTTCGCAATAGTTGTCTCATTGGTATCACATAACACACGCACGCACGGCAACAAAAGAGGGCACTTGGGGGAACAAATCCCTGCCCCTAATCCTCCAATCACTAACACACACGCGCAGGCACACAGCGGGGGCCGATTACACTGATAACCGGGCTGCTGGCCACCGCGGTGGGCTTTGTGATTGCCAGCTCTTTACATTTCATCACCATGTCACGGGCAGGAAAAGGGGGAAGGAAAAACCCTAATCCTCTCTTAAGGAACGACATTCTCCCGGGTAATAAGTCTCCTCTTTGCTGGAAAATTAAACTATTCCTCCATGTTCTGAACACTACAAATTATGAGGCCCCTGGGAAGGAGAGAGCATATGGGATTTCACCATGACTCCATTATCAAAATTACCTTTATTTCCTCCCAAACACGAAAGCCTTACATGCAGGGCAGATGGGATAAAAAAATAATAATAATTCTAAAATTAGGATGTAGAATAGAGTGGCCTGTTCTTTAAGAAAACATAACACTGTTTTATGTTAAATAGGATTAATTTTACGTATAAAAAAACGGAGTATTGCTTTTCCCACCTAGAAAAAAATAATCTAAATAGAGTCTTTTGAGAGGAAGACTCTGCCACGGAACACCTTTTGTCGAGCAAACATGATAAAACGGAACCAGTCACTGTTTTTGTTTTGCTTTTAACAAGAAAACAAACTTACCTGCATGTGTAAAGTTTTGTGAACGGCTAGAGTTCTAGACTGACAAAATCCTTTCCCACACTCCTGACACTTGAAGGGCTTTTCTTTGGAATGAATATACCTGAAAATCAATATAAGGTTTCATTGAAATGGCTTTCCCACCACAGTGAGGAGACTCTTTTGACAATTACTGAACTCGACGTCATGAAAGGACAAAAGAAACAGGATTCCCATTATGTATGTTTTTAGATTGTATGTTTTCCTCCCTGTGTAATTCTGTTTATGGTTAACCTCAACTAACAGACTCTTCCCAACATTCACTGGACGTCGCTTTTATCTACACTTGATCGCCCTCTCTGGCGTATTCTGGAGCTCGAAATCCTGCCGAGTGAGTCCTTCTGGGCCTCTAGGATTTCGCCATGGATTTAAACGGGCCAAATCAAAACGTAAAGCTGGGGGGGGGGGCTGACTTTAGCGAATCCCCCACCAGCCACGCAGGATCTGCACTCAGGTCCCACCTTGGGTAACAAACAGCTAGTGGAGTCCCAAGAGAGATACCCCACCCTCACTTCTGGGAAGTTTTTACCAGATGAAAACATTTACGTTTCTAGTATTTCTTCAATTGCCGTTGATTAATGCAGAGTTTAAGCTCCTGAGGGGAGGGCAGTGGAGGGAGAAGGGGGGTTGGAGGGGGTGTAACTGTGCCTAAATTCTGGGATCTCAAGACCGACCTCCGCAAATAAATGTAAAAGATAGAAGGTCCGGGCGTTAGGCTCTGGAGAGCACGCTGGCGTGGGGGTAGCCGATAGGGAAGGGAGGGAACCCAGTTGGGGGTGGCCCAGAGTAGACATCCAGAAATAGTCTCCAGGCTGCCATTGTGGGATTTGGGGTCCCCAGGCTTTACCTGCTACCCCCACCCCAAGGGCGACCTGGAGGAAACTGAGAAACCGATCGCAGCAACCCAAACCAACCCACCCGGTTTTAGCTGCCAAAGCCTGAAAAAGGACCTCCCGCGTGCATCCCGAACCAGAACGCAGCAACGGCCGGTGAGGGGAAAAGGTAACTACTGGCGGGTCGCTGGGGCCTTTTGGGATCCAGGCTAGTTGAGCGGGCCTTTCCGTGGCACTCGGGGGGCCTCTGAGGCTCTGGTATTTAGAGCGACCTCGCCGCACCTCCCGCGGCCAACCTCCGGCTCCTTCTCACCTGTGATCCCGCAGGTGGTCCTGCCGCCGGAAGGCCTTGTGGCAGATGTCACACGTGTACGGCCTCTCGTCCGTGTGGGTCCTCTCGTGGATGAGCAAGTTGTAGGATTTGGTAAAGTGTCTGCCGCAAAACTTGCAGATAAACTCTTTTTTCGTTTTCGAGGGCAGCCTCCCCCGGGAGGGCTTTCTGTCCGGAGTCAATTTACTGAGGCCCGAGATGGGGCTGCCCAGCCCCGGGCTCAGCTTGGTCAGCTCGCCCATCTTCGGGGGGTCCTCTTGCGTGGCGGCCACGGCCAAGTTGGCAAAGTCAAAGCGGGGCCGGTCCTTGTGCAGGGCTGGGAGGACGTGGGCGATGGCTCCCTGCTTGGGGTGGAAGAGGTGAGTGGTGAAGGGCAGAGCCTGGAAGGGGAAGCGCGCGTCCATGAGGCCCTGCGCCGCCGCCATCTCGGTGAGGGTGGAGCGGGTGATCTCGTGCACGTTGGGGTACCCCAGCGTCCAGTGGTTCATGTGCATGGTCTGCACGGCGCTCAGCCCGTACAGGCCCTGCAGGTGGTCCACGGCGGCGGGGAAGGTGTTCACGGCCTGGAGGAAGGAGTAGTTGGTGAGCTGCAGCGACGGGTGGAGAGGGATGGGCGCCGGCAGGGCCTTGCTCCCCATTTTCCGGGCTTCCGGGGGGCGCAGGGAGCCTCCCCTTTCTTCCAGGACTCAGAGGCGCGTGGGTGTGGGGCTCCCGTGAAAACCCAGAGAGGTGACAGCAGAGACACCCTGAAAATGACAGGGAGAGAGAGGCAGAGTCGTGATTGTTATCCAAACCAGCTCGGTCTGAACTTTGGCGCAGGCGCGAGTTACCACACCTTCCTTCTAAGTCCTCCCCACCCTCCTCCCGCGCCCCAAAGAGGTGGTGGGGGAACCCTTGCGCCTGGCCAGGGCGTCAGGGGGGCCAGGAAAGGTCCCCTGTGAGCTGGGGACCCACAGGAAGGTCGGGTTCCTGCAGGGATGGAGCTGTTGACTCAGGTCCGGGAGAAGGAAGGGGGGCAGGGGCGCTCCAGCAGAGGCAGCGCCGGGTCCAGCCCGCCCACCTCACCCTGTCTAGCGAAGCTGTCAACCCCGACAACCCTGATGCCAACACCACGCAGGCCCCGGCTCAGCCCCTGTCGCCTGGGAGCTACCCGAGAAGGACGGGCCGGGGGTCCCACCCGGCCCAGCCCGGCGCGGCGGCTCCTCCCGGTGCGCCCTGCACTTGGCCGGGCCCAGTGGCCCGGGTGCCGGGAGCGCAGCTGTGGGTGCTTCGTGCTCCCGGGCCCTCGAGCACTCGGAGAGGCCCGCTTCGCCCCGCGCTGACCTCGGAGGTTTTCTTTTTCCTTCCTCTGCCTCCGTCCCATTCATCAGCGGTGACGGGCCGCAGGAAAGAAAAGTGACACCTCCGGGGCCGGGTTCCACCAGGAATCGCCTCCTCCTTCCCAGGGGCCTTCTACTCCCACCCCCCACCAAGATCCCTTCCAGATGGTTCGGCTCCCGGGGAGAAGGTGGGGGTGGGCGGGAACGTTCCTGCGGCCCGAAACCCTTCTCCCGGGTGGAGCGCCAAGCTCGAGGGAGGCTCGAGCGGCTTCCCGACCTGGTCCCGGAGCGGCTCCTACCCGGAGGAGACCTCGGGAGTAAAAGGGTGGAGAGCGGGCTCCCTGGGGAGGGAAGGGGAAGGGGAAGGAGCCGCAGGGGGTCCGCAGCGGGCGGTTCAGTGAGGTCCCGGCGGCCTGGAGGAAGCTTGTTTCTGCCCCGGGGGCGCGTGCTCGATGCTCCTGCCACCTGGACGCGGGGCCGAGGTCTGCGGCCTGGGCCCAGGCAGGGCGCGCACACTCTGCTCTCCCTGCGCCCCCAATGGCAACACGGAGGTCTGCTTTCGGATCCAGGTTCCCAGAAGCACCTCGCATGCATACAGGGTGGGCCTACCGTCTCCCACCGCCAACCCCTTCAAAGCACCGGGTTCTGCCGGCTCCTCGGAACCGCACCTTGTCTCCGAGGGCGGCTCTCCATTGCTACAAGCTGTCCCTGGAGAGGAGCGGGCGGCCCGGCTGAGCCATCCCCCTTTCCGCCTGGCTGTTGAAACCAGGAGAAAGGTGGGAGAGTTTGTTTAGCCTCCCCTCTCCACCCACCCACTTCTGCCCCTGAGTTTTCTTCTCTCGTGTGTGGTGTTGCCAGTGGCTCCGAGGGCGGACGTAGGGGGCTGCGCTAATGACACAGCGCTCTGGCAAGGCGGCCTGGCTGCCTCCACCAGGCCCACACCTTCACTCCCTCCTCCTCTGCTTGGAAAGGCTCGGAGACAGGGATTTATTAATGAGCCGCTTCTGCCTGGTGGTATGCGGTCTGGGAGTTCAGGCCTGGAGTTAATGAGAGGTGTGTAACAGTCAGAGGGTCTCAGTCAGACCGTTCAACCGAAACCGTAAACCTCCTTTCGGAACAAACTTTCCCACCACAAATCACGATTCAGTTTTGTTCCGTGGCAACCCCTCCAGACCTCTCCTAGACAGATTAGAAAAAGGATTCTCACATCCCTGCTAACCTATCCGATTATTTCCTCTTCCATTAAAATAAATTGCACCTTTATTTCCTTCTTCTTGCATAATGAGGGCCAAGAAGAGATTCAAAATAGTCTTATCCCTCCCCCCCCCCACTAGTGTTAAAAAGCAGCCTCCCGGATACAGAGGAAACCAAAATTATTATTTGGGTGTATTCCCAGATTTCTTAGAAATAAATACAGGAGGCAGTACAACTCCCACCATGTTCTATGTCTGTGTGTGTGTGTGTGTATGTGTGTGTGTGTGTGTTGCCAGTTGCAGGACTACCACAACTTGTGGTTTCGATTCCAAATACACGAAGTGAACTCTGCCATAAAGGTTACATGTCCTGCCAGCATAAAGTTGAATGCCATCTTCCTTCCCTTTTCTCCCCTAATGGTTCGTAACACAAAAATTAAAGATTCCATTGTAATTCAGCTTCAAGGGGGTACACAAGTGCTATTTCACAGTCTGTGTTCATTTTAATTTGCAGGACAAATGGTTTCTTCACAGAGGAGCAGACCATGGGTGACGTCTGAACCCTTCTACAAACAGGACAACCCTAAATATCCACCTAACATTTTTGCCATAAATAATTAGGGAGTTCAGATTTCCACTCTCCCGCCGCCGAGTTGCTGGAAATATATGTCAAAAAAAATTTTTAAGTCGATCTACAGTACTTTCATTTTGTCTGGAGTTGAGCATGGAGTTCCCATACTCTGTCTCAAGCAATAACAGTTATCGTTTGCTGTCATTTCTCCACCAGGCCCTTTGGGACCATTGGTTACTTTTAATTTTGCAAGGAAAGAAATTTAAACCAATGAAAATACAGAAGTATTTCAGTGGAGCTGGGGCTGGTTTTCTTTCATCACTCTTCTTCACAGGAATTTCCAGGCATGTACAGAAGTTTTGTAAAATTTAGCCCACTGGCTGTCAACAAGTGAGATGTGTACATACTAATTTCAGTTCCGTGAAGCTTTCAAAGCATCGGAGAAGAAAGGGGTATGTGATGTGGTAATTGGATAAGGAGTCTCGCTTTTAGGTAGCAGTGTCGTTACACTGAATTATCTAAAAATAATATACAGTCAGGGGTCATCTGCTAAAACCTGTGCATGGGTGTCTGAGAGGACTGACGGATAGATCGATGGTCTCGCTGAATTTCAGCCCAAATGCCACAATGGGATTTTCACATAAATCAAAGAGGCTACAGTCCAAGTGGATCTAAGGAGGTCATTTTGAAAAAGTGAAATAAAAATGGCCAGACTGGATCAGGTGAACTGAGAGGAGAAAAAAAAAAAAAAACCGCCAGCGAAGTCCCTGCCCCTGTGCAGCGCCTCTGCCTTCCCAAGGAGTTAATTAAATTAAGATGCCTTCCGCATAAGGGTTCTGTTTCTCTCTGCTCCCTCGCTCCCCCTGCGTGAGTAATTTCTTGTTCTGCTCGGGACTGCAGTTTGTTTTGCAGAGGAACGAGCTGTCTGAGGCGTCTCGCTCCGGGAAACGCCAGCCCTCTTTTGTTCTCTAACAGGTAGGGAGATGGATCCAGCGCTCCCTCCACAAACACCCTTTTCTCCCTCCTCCTTTCTACAACCGCAACTCCTGCTGCTGCTGCTATTTCTTGAGGATCCAAGTGTTTCAGACCCGGGGGAATTTGCCTCCCGCCCCCTCCTCCAGAGCTGGAGGGTGAGAGGATAATCAAAAAGGTCAACAACGCAAGGTTGGAGAGTTACCTAGGGTTGAACTATGACTTCCCTTTTGAAACGCGTGAGCTAGGCGGGCGTTGTGTGTCCCGGCCCGTCCGCGCTGCGCCGCGGCTGCCCTGGGACGGGTGGAGGTGGAATCCTAGGGCACCCGGGGGCAACAGGGTTTTTTATCTCAGGGTATGCTGATCAGCTTTTATAAGAAGACCCGATGAATGCTTGGATTAAATGTTGCACAACAAAACTAAAAACTGTACATACAAGTGTGTGTCCACGGGTGCTCGCTGGGAATGACGCGCCTGGGATCAGACAAGTGAGAAACAATGCCCAGGATTACATCCACAGGATCCCTTCTCACAGTTTCTGAACTTGTGGACCGCCGGCCGAGAATCGGCGCCCCTGCACCCTTCCTTTCTCAGGGAGCCTGCAGTCCCTTCCCAGGGCGCACACTCACCTCCCGCGGAAAGGTCCGCCGGCGCCGCGCCGCTCAGACCCGCTCCAGGCAGCGAGGCGCACAGCTTGAAAAGGTCATTGGGTCCACGCCGAGCAAACGTCTCTTTCCGCACGGAGTCCCGGCAGCCGCGGACATTCTCTGGAGCATTAAGAGCCGCCGAAAAAAAAACGAGAGTGGATCCTCGCCTTCGTCGGAGTCTGTGGACGTGGAATGTCGCAGGGCCATCACCCTCCGGCAGCGAGTGCGCCGAGCTCTGTCCCCGCCCGCGTCCCTCCCTAGGCTGTTCGCGGCCGCGAGTCCGGGGCTTTAGTAGCGGCCCCGCCTCCCCTCCGGGCGGGCGTCCCGCCGCCGCGCGGGGCCCACCGCTCCCAGGCTCCGCCTCCGCGCCCGGCGCCCGCGAATGGTCCACTCTGTTTACTTGTGTTTGGATAGCAACTGAGTCTTAAAGGCACAGGTTTGCCCGAGGTTTCCCAGCGAGAGCCGAAGGTGACTCAGTTCAAAACCGACACACAAACACAACGCCCACCCCTTTCCTTCTCTCCGCCACTTTTCCTTACGGTGTTACAAACTGAGCAACTGGCCTTCTGCCTCTGGAAGACCCCCACAGAGGAACGGAAGGACATGTTGTAGTTTTACTTGGCACTCTCGCCGAGTTCACGTCCCCATCTTAGCACGTTTAGCATAACCGCCTTGTTCGTAGGGTAAAATCAATCAGTTCTAGATTGTATTCTTCAGCATATAGCGCCCTCCCCTCCCCCCATTTTAAAACACCAGTGTTGTACATATTCTTGGGGCAGTTTTGACTACATGTGTTGTCTGCTTTCACCTGTTGTCTAAACAGTTTGCTTTTGAGGTGACAATGGCTAATTTCTTAATGGCTGGAAAGGCATATGGTGGCATATCCCAGGAGACACGTCTTCCAATATCTAAGCTTCCATCGGCCAGTGTGAAGCGACTTAAAGAGGTGGGCTTCTGCAACGCATTGGTAAATAAAGAGTCCGCCTGGAATTGGGTGAGGAACGATCATTTACAAAATTTAGGAACATACTATTTTAGCGTCTCAAAACATGTACCTCTTCATTCCCAGCCAAAACATAAAATTAAAAAAAAAAAGTAGAGCTCATTGTTTAGTCGCCAGGAACCTTCATCGAATTTGAAGTGTAGTGATACATTTTTCAGGTTCTTCTACAGGTTTGGTCCTGGGAGAGAGGAACTGCAGGCGCCCTTCGGCTCCTCTGGAAGTGGGGTGACCGAGTGTCACACACGCATTTGAAGCAGCCTCTTTGCAGATGAGATCTGGCCGAGCAACCCTGAGCAAAGCGTCCTTCTTCCCAGCCCTTGGCCGGGGGAGGGGATTTGCCTCAGTCCCCTGGCAAGCCCTCGTTTTTTGGGGGCACAGATCTTCCAGTCAACAGGCTGTTCAATTCAAGTGTTCCGCCAAAAAAACAAAAAGTGGTTTTGGATGTGCCACCTCAGAGTCCAATTAAAATAATCTCAATCGTGCAAGGAAGTGGACAAAAATATAAGACGAAACACTGTCAAAAGCTGAACTAGTGATGGGGGGTAGAAGCTATGAGATGTTAGTTTATGAAGATACAATTCTATGTCATTTATGCCGAGGTGGATAGAATTTTTCGTTCCTTTGGGGTAAAACATAATTCAGGGAGAGCAGATCTTTTCTCCTTTCCAATTTCCAATTCGCAAAGGTTAAAAAGTGAGCTCGGAAGGCAGACCTGGGTGTTTAATATCCTTCAGTGTTGAACTGCTGCGAAGGAGATTTGAAAAACAGCAGGGAAGCAGTAGAACGTCTCAGAGCTCAGGATTTATTTTTATTTTTATTTTTTAAAAACGTTTTCCCTGGTGGCTTCTATAGGGGTGCTTTCATTTTAGTGCTCCGTCCTGAGCTCCAGCTACCGGGATGCCTGTGGTCCCCTCTCTCTAACCGCCTCATTCTTTCCGCAGCTTTTCTCAATTTGGAAGAGTTGGAGGGAACTTTCTCTTCTTTCAGACCCCCAGGACACGCACGCCAGGGGTGGTGACCTGAAGAGTGTTCCTACGCGTTGCATTTCCTTTTCACTAAAGTGGTGGCAATTCCCCAGGGGCGGACTTCACACCTTCCTGTGTGTGTGTGTGTGTGTGTGTGTGTGTGTGTGTGGTGCGAAACCCCCTGCTTCTCCCCGCAAAGTAGACAGAATTTACAACCACCCATGAGCTGCGCCCTCTTTCTGCAAACCTCCTGAGCCTCGGCTTTTCCCTGAATGCGTTTACCTCGCCCACCCGCGCCTCCGACGTCCCACAATGGAGTCCGGGCCGTGCTGGCCCCGAGCGCTGCGGTTGCTTGAAAGGTAGGGAGGAGCCGGCGAGTTCCGGGCGGTGCGGGAAGCCGC